ATATAGGTGCTCCATGACAAGGAGCACCTCAAAACCACCAAACCAGCATCACAAAAAATTCCCAAGGATTCCTTAGAAGGAGACAGTGAAGCCAGATTGGCAGAGCAGATCAAAAATCAAAACACAGCAATATGTAGTATACAACACAGACACTTAATTAAAAAGAAATTCACAGATTAAAAATGAATATTTGAAAACAATATTCCATGTAACAGGAACATGGAGAAAATCATGAGTAGATAACCTAATTTCAGACTAAGTGTACTTCAATCCAAAATTGATCAGAATAGACAAAGATGCTTACTACATATTAGTTCAGGGAACAGTTCAACAGGAAGAGATAACAATAGTGAACCTATATGCACCTCAGAACTAGGGAAAAATAATCCTAAAATTCATATGGAACAGGAAGAGACCTAGAATAGCAAAAGCAATTCTTGGCCATAAGGGCAAGGCAGGAGTCATCACCGTACCATATTTCAAGTTATACTAAAAAACTACAGGGATAAAAACACCATGGCATTGACAAAAAAAAAAAAAAACAGACTTGTGGATCAATGGAATCAAATAGAGCAGTGGTGGTGAACCTTTTAGAGTTTTCAGTAATAACAAAGAGCCAGCTGTGGCACACATGCCATGGATTTTCCACCACAGGAAGAGAGGATGTGGAAGGAACTCCAGACACACCTAGCATTCTTATCTTTGACAAAGGAGAAAAATACTTTTGTGGGAGGAAAGGTAGCCTCTTTAACAAATGTTGATAAGGAAAAACTGGCTGTTCCCATGCTGAAAATTGAAACTACACCCATATCTTTCACCATGCACTAAACTAAACTAAAAGCAGATTTTAAAAAATCTAAACATTAAAACAGAAACAGTCTACTGGAAGACAAACTAGGTAAAACTCTTGAACACATAAGCAGTCAAAGACTTTCCAGAAAGGAGTACAAGGAATAATACCAAAAAATCAACAAATGGGATCAAATTAAAAAGCTTTTGCACAGCAAGGGAAACAAACAACATTGTAAAGAGGCAACCTACAGAATGGGAAAAGATTTTCCAGCAACTCCTCAGACAAAGGTTAATATTAGAACATACTAAAAACTCAAAATATAGACCCCTTCAAATTTAAAGACCCAATCAAGGGCTGGGGATTTAGCTCAGCGGTTCGGTGGCCTGCCTTGCAAGCGCAAGGACCCAAGTTCAATCCCCAGTACCAAAAATAAATAAATAAATAAATAAAAAATAAAGACCCAATCAAAAATGGATATCTGAAATGAATAGATTCTTCTCAGATAAAGAAATATAAATTATAAATAAATACATGAAAGAATGGTCAGCATTACTGGCCATTCAAGCGATGCAAATCAGAACTGCGATTCCATCTTACTTCAGAAAGAGTAGCTGTCTTTAAGAAATCAAATAATAACAAATGTGGAGTGGCTGTGGTGAAAAAGGAACCCTTCTTCATTGTCTGTGGGTGTGTAAACTAGTACAACCACTATGGGAATCAAAATGAATATTCCTCAACAGACTAAAAATAAAAATTTCATTTTGATCCAGATATTCCTCTCCTATATATCTTCCCCAAAGAATTAAGGACATCATATTATAGTGATAATGCGTGCCCATGTTTATAGCATCACAATAGCTAAATTTTGGCAGTAACTCGTATTTCCTTCAATGATAAATGGATAAAGAAAATGAGGTATGTATGCAAGATGAAGTACTATTCTGCCACAAAGAAGGATAGACTCAAATCATTTGCAGGAAAATGGATGCATCTCAACACCATAATGTTAAGTGAAATAAATCAGATACATGAATTTAAATATCACACGTTTCTCTTATATGAAAAATCTGATTTATCAATAAGGTACAAAATTAAAGAGAGACAATAGGAAATAATGAGATGACTCTATGGCATATGGATTGGAAACTAAGAGATGAGAGGAAGAGGAGAGAGAGGAGAGAAATGAGTTGCGGGGGGGGGTGGAACTGTGAAATACTGTGTATGTGAGCAGAGTCCCTACAAGGAATGTGATCATCATGCAGTACCACCAACATGAATAAAAGTGGAAAACATAACAGATCCCCCATCTTCTATTTTGAGTCGCACTTCTGGGAAGAGAGCATGGGGCAGGATGAGCCTGACTTCATGTAGGGGCCCGAGGTCTGGGGAGGTGTCACGGTCCCAGGAAGAGTGGAAATGATGCCCAGCCTGGCTCTGTTGCCCCGGGCAGGAGAGGCTCAGTGTGTGATAGCCTTGGCTACTGCAGTGCGTCACACAACTCGGGGATTAGAAAACTAGAAATGCATTCTCTTGCAGTGGTGCAAATGAGCTGGAGGTGTCAGCAGAGCCACACTTCCTGCAGAAGCCCTGGGGCTGGCACTGTTCCTCTTCTGCCTTCTGGTGGCTTTTGGTGTCCTTAGCTTATGGCTGCATTGCTTCTGCCTTCTCTAACCTGCCCTGGTCTTCTCTGCTGCATCTGTGTCTTCTATTTTAGGTATTGGCTGTAGGATCCACCTGGGTGATCCAGGACCAGCCTGTCTGAAGACCTGTAAATTGGTTACATTCATAGACTTTTTCCTAGTCAAGGCCATACGCCAAGGTTCCAGGGGATGGGATGTTCGCATAATTCTTTGGTGGCCACCATCCAGGCCAACGCTGTTAGTGAACCCTGGTGTTTTTAAACAAGCAGTGGCTTGAGCAGCTCTGCAGTGTGATCTTCTGAAAGGCTGAAAGGAAAGAGAAAAAAGAAAGGAAAGGAAGAAAGGATCATGGCAGGGGGCGTTGTTGCCTGGGACCCCACCAGGACAGAGCAGCCGTGCGGAGAGGGCAGCCTCCCTTCCCCCAGCTCCTAAGCCCACAGTTCAGGGAGTCCAGGTCCAGGGCAGTGTTTCCACCAAGGTTCATGGCTCAGTAGAGGTCATACAGTTAATCCCTGCATTACACAGAAAAACAAATAGAAGTGGCACAGAGTGGGGAATATCAGAGTTTATTGCCAGAAATCAAAGCATTGTTTTGCAAAACGTCGACAGGCATGCGTGCCCATGGTGTTGTGATGTCACATGTCTTAGTTAAGTCACTCTCAAGAAGTGTGGCAGCCAGCGGTGCACGGGACGGTGGAGAGAGCCGCAGGTGAGGGAAGAGTCCTGCTACCACATTGGGATTGACCTAGAGCCTAGCAGGCCCTGCAGCAATGGAGTGAAGAGCCACAGGAGGGCGCTCTCAACACATGCACGACCTCCTCGGGGAATTTTCCCCTCTTGAGGGCTACAGGTTGACCCTGGAAACGAAGCGAGATTCGACCGATACCTTAGGTGAAAAAAGATGACTGGACCAGTGAATTTTGACGTGAACCATAGACGCGACACCCATTTAAACACAGTTCATGGTAATAGCGGAGATCCGATTACAAGCAAAGGGAAAATTTGTACCAGAACTGCTGTTTTAGAACTTTGCTTCCCCTTCGAGCTCTTTTCCCCCTTAATGAAACTTCGTGGCAGGATCCAGTCCGCGAAACTGCTCCCCTGCCTGGCTCGCCATCTCCCTGTATCCACGGTCCTGCAGACTGCGTTGTGAACTCCGACGCCCAATTTGCCACAGTGAATAACGATGGGCTAGAAGGTGTTTGGCGTCCCTCTTGGTGGAATTTCTTTGATTCTATGGCTTGGAACAAAAGTCAGTACAATATGTCCAAGCAAATTGGCTTCTCTTTGAAGCCCAGGATTGCGTTTGGGTCAGCTCTGAATACCCGGCACAGCTTCCGGTACAAAGTGATCAAGAACTTTAAAGTGTGAAGGGAGAATTGTTTTGCATTTCTTTGTAACCCCAGTACCAAGCAGAGTGGTTTCTACAAAGTGGGTGCTTTGAAAAAGCCAGTAAACCAAACAATGACTAAAATCTGCCCTTAAATTTTGGATAAAGCTGTCTTCTAACGATGAGCCAGCAGAGGGCAGGAGAGCTCAGTTTAACAGCAGCGCGGAGCTCTGGCTGGTTGAAGGAGCTCGCTAGCCCAGCGGTGAGAGCAGTCCTAGGTGCCCGGTAAGAGAAGGAGGGAGACACGGTGTGAAATCCCACCTTCGCGCTTCCCAGATCTCCGTACGTTAACCCTCAAGGCTTCCTCCACAGAATGGGAGCCGGGTTTTGGTTTGGGCACAGTGCCGGACACAAGACATCAGGACAGGACTCGCCCGTCTCACACTGTGATCCAGGCCGCCCGAGTGGGAGGGATCCAGGGATCTGCACAGAGCATTTGCATCACGGAGGGACACAGGGGACCCAGGGAATGGGAGGCTCTGACTGCGGTGCTAGTCGCGACCCTTCTCTTTTCTTGGTTTCAAATTTTCCATATTAAGAGGAGGAGTAGGGGGCAACAATTTTAAGATCCTGGTCTGAGATGGTTCCATTTTTTTTTTTTTTTTAATTTTACCCTATTCCTCTTTCTTCCCTCAGCTTGCGGAGAAGTTTCAGGAAAGCTAATGAAGCAGGTGCATTGGCCTCAGTGAGGCAAAGCCAAGCCCATCCCCTCTGGGGTTCCCAAGGAGGGAGGGAAGAGCCGAACAAGAGAAGGGAAAGGGAGGAAAATAAAGAAGATGCGAGAGAAGACTGAATGCGACAAGAACAAGGAGGCAGAAGGGAAGAGAAAAAGAAAACAGAGAAGGAGGAAAAAGATGAAAGGGAGAGGGGAGAAGACAGGCAGAGCAGACTGGGACAGGAGGGGAATTATGTGGCGGAAGTCCAGTTGCAGACTGGAATTAAAGTCTTAAGAGACAGAAATGTCTGAGCCCAGTGGAGACCTATGAATTAGAACCTTTGTCACTGTGGCCCAAGCCTCTGTACTTTAAAAATGTTTCTCAGGCAATGTCAGTGGGAAGCCAGGGTGAAGAGCTTGTAAGTTTGAGTGTGGAGAAACCGGAGCTCTTGTGGGGATGACTCCACTCCATGGGGCACTGGGTGTTGGATGGCTTCTCTCACGCTGGCTCTAAGCAGAGCTCTCAGAATCTTCTCAGAGAACAGCTCCATCCACCCCTACTCTGCAGTGCTCTGGGGAGGGGACCATTGATTTCTGGCCTTATTTCTCAGATCCATGGGTCAAAAAGTTTGATCAAGGTATCTCCTCTGTTCTTGACTGCACTGGGCAGGCTCTTGGAGAATCTCAGGTTTAATTCCTTGCTATAAGGAGGATGGTAGGTGCACAGGCTGGAAGTCAATTTTGGGGTGGTACAGAGAGACAAAATGTGGCTGGGTTGATTTTCTTTGGGAATTCCTGAGGCACAGGCCAGAGGAGAAAAAATGGGAAGTTTCTGGAGAGACAGAGAGAAGGAGAAACTGGAGCTCTAAGAACAGAGTTTCCTTGTCTTCCTCCCTTTCCTTGCAACAGTGCACTGGGGTGTCAGAAAGAGCCCGCATCGCCCAGCTGTGTTCGAGTTGCAAAGCCTGAGTCTCCCTCTCCCTGGGTAGGGAGGCACCGATATACCCAGCAGCCACGCCCCTGCACAGAGCCCATTTAGCCTCGCCTCTCCCCTCTGCATGCCAGGAACAGGGCCTGTTTCAGGAGTCAGTGATGTTCCCTCCCAAGGCCTCCAGTGGCTAGGAAGACGGATATTTCGGTGACTATTCTAGTGTATTCATACGACAATGGTGGTTAGTTCTTGGCACAGAGGAGTAATCCCACCGAACAATGTTTTGGGTTTAAAAAGTTTTTTTCTACTCATTCGTTCATTCATTTTGCTGAAGCTCAGAGATGACTAAGAGACCAATGGATACATGTTTCTGAGGGAATTGGCCACCCAGGGTCGCAGCAGGCCATGTCCCCGATTCTTGTCTTGCTGTCCACGGAGACCTTGGGTTCTCACATAAGAGAAGGGAAGTTTGGCATCAGCTCAAGCACCATTTTTCAACTGTGACTGTGTGCACAGCATCTTTAGCCTCTCAGAGGAGGACGCAGATATGGCAGAGGCAGCTTTCTGCCCTCAGTGAGCCCCTCTGCGTAAGGGTGAGACCTAAAGGCTCGGAAAGAGCAGGAGCTCAAAGTGATCTGTGAGGTGCCTTTGATACGCTGCTGGGAACAGCAAAAGGGCCACCCTGCTTCTAAGTCAGAAGCCCTTGGCAACGTCTTGAATGAGCTGAGGGATTTTTGCTGTCAGGTGGGTCAAAGGCTTTCCAGGGAGAGAGAACCCCATGCAAGAGGGGTGAGCAGAGGGTGTGCGCGGAGAGGGAAAGTGGCTGATGAGCAGCGGCACAGGGTAAGTGAAGGTCTGCGGAAACGTGGCCATCGGACCCATGTGTCTGCACGGGAACTGGTGGCACTGGCAACCCAAAGCTTTAGAGCAGGAAGGTGAGAGGGTAAAGCCCAGATAGGAGACTACTGCGAGAGCCTAGGCCTACAGCATCTCCACCCATCTCTCCTCATGGGAGCCGTTGAACCTGCAGGGGCCCCACTCTGCGTTATTATGGTGGCCTAGGTTTTGTGGAAATAGGCAAAAGCTAGTTCGGCAGGAAAATCTGGCCAGCTCATCTATTGAGCAGAAGGCACCTGTAGGGGCAGTAGCACGGCCTCTTCTCGCAGAGTGGAAGCACTTAGGGCATTGCAGGTTCTCATTCTCGGTCTCCATGTTGGTAGGGATGCTTAGAAGGAAGGGTCCCGGTGAGATCATCACCCAAGCTTCCTTGGGCAAGGAAGTTCTAAATGGCCGCATAGCCCATTTCCATCCCAACCATACGTCCCACCAAGTCTGTCCTCCGCTGTGTGAGTTGTTTTTTCCACATTTACCTTGATTTAAGCCAGAAGTAAATCTAGAAAGCAATTCAGCAAGCGAATATACACAACGGTAACAGTTTCCAAATCTTAATCTGTCATGTCTCTAAGATAAATATATGTAAGAGAGAAAAGACTATTTCCTAATAAAGGGTGTTCAGCACCCACCCTCTGCTTTCTGTGGAAGGATTCTTCCTCATCCCCAGGAGGAGGAAGAGGAGGAGGAGGAGGAGGAGAGTCTACCTGTCTAGTTGGGTCACAGCATTGGCCGGGACACCTGGGCTCTCAAAATGCTTGAGTGACTCCTTGGATATCACCCCTTAGGGCCTTAGGACCTTAGGATATCACCCTTAGGACTGGCTGCCTCTGTCTGACACACAGTAAGAAAACCCATCCTTGATAGTCTCATGCTTTATGGGTTACCAAGAACTTTCACCCAGTGTCTGGTCTGGTTCTCAAACTTGCCTTACAAGAGGCAAAGATTATCAGGTCCATTTTAAGCAGGAGAAAAAACAGCCTATAAATATAGGGCCTCAGACATCCAGCCCATGGCTTTTTCTACTATGCTCTGTTGCTCCTATCCCTCACCTTTCTCTCTGGAAAGTAAAAGGGTTTCTTCCTTGGAAAATTTCCAGAATTCCTTAGCATAAATCCATTTCTGTGTTCTTAGGAATTTGTGAAACTTGACAGTGTTTTGGCAATTGTCTAGATGACTCTGTAGGTTCTGATAATTCTTATCACTTCCTTAACTTGATCTCCAAACAAATTATCAATGCATACCGTCTGCCTTGCTTCAAAATGAACCTCAAGTCTAGGCAATCTTCATTTTCTTCATGACCACCACTCTTGGCCCAAATACCATCTTGTTTTATCTGATCTAAATTCAGAGTTTAGATCTCCAGAGAAAACCACAAACTACCCGCCTGCTTCCAACCATTGGAACCTGGGAGATGAGACGGGCTCTGGAGGTAAGGCTGGCTACACAGCTGAGACTGTGGAGGTATGAGGTCTCTTTGTGCAGCCAACCTGCTTGGGCATGGGTATTGACAGGAGAATAATTTTTTTTTTTTGCTTTGGTTCCTGTCTTCAATGGTTTTTAGACTCTTAAGTGATCTCCTCCTTGCTTTTCTCTTGCCTTTCTACAGTAAATTTTCTACTGAGCAGAAGCATTAATTAAAAATAACCAAATTAGGTCAGTCCTTTGCTCAGATCTTCCAGTGGTTTGCATACCGAGACCTTCAAGGCTCTCCTGCCTGCCTCAGTCAGCCTTCTGTGCTTGGTTCCAGTTCTCCTGCCTTGTTGAGCTTCAGGTCCTGGGTTGGAGTCTTCATTGAGATATTTGGGCGGCCAGGTCCTTCACTTCAAGTGGGTTTCTTCTCACAGGGCTCCTCCTCAGAGTCGCCTGACTACCTGCTATCACACCGTGTGCTTCGCTCTAACCCATATAAAATTTAACATATATTGCTGTTTGAGCAGTAATAAAATAATTATTATTGTTTGCCTTCCTTCCTAGGACTTTGTCTGACTTGCTTACTGCTGTGTAATTGACATCTCAAATATTAGTACAGCTTTTCCATAATTACTTTTTGATAAAATTTGAGCAAATCAGTTCTACAAAGGGAGAGACTGAGGGTCTCCATGGGGAGAGCAGGTCAGTGGTAGAAGCAAGACTCAGAGCAAGTTCTGCACAGGCCTGTGACATGTCCTCTGTACCCAGTCTTCCCTCCCATGTTACACAAAAGCTAGGCTCTTTCCAACTCTAAAGACCTTAATTAGAGAAAAATGAGGACATTTAACTTCAGAGTACACTCTCATTTGCCCTTTTATTTTGAACTTGTTGATTATCGTGGCTGAATGAAGAACAAAGATGACCTGCTGAGGTTTTATTTTTGCAAGTGAGGAAACCAAGGCAGGAGAGGATGTTCCACAGCTGACTGTGACAGAAGCAAGCTACACTTCAGACCTCTCCGCTCTGTGGACGCTTTCTCCTTTTCCGATTTCTTAACCCTGGGCACACACGTCTGCTCACAGGTTTGTACTGTTTCCCATTACAGTGTGTTTCTACACGTCACCTCGGCAGATCATCACCTCACATGGGCCAGCCAGGCATCTCTGAGTCAGAGGTGAGTGACAGACTGGAAGGTGGACTGACATTCTCCTTCGTTATACTACTTCCTGCCAGGGTTCCCTTTTTATTTCCCCCCAAATAAGAATTTATTTATTTCATTAGTACAGATCTGTGATACGTCACGAGCACATTCATCATGGGGAGTTGGTACTTGTACAAATCACATCTTGTTCCTTTTTACTTCCCCTCCCCTCCCTCCCTTCTCCCTCCTTCCCTAGTCTCCTTCCCAGCAGCAAGATGCCACCAAGCCGCCCTTGCCCTGGGCATTTATCATTTGAGGACCGCAGCCTCCTCCTGTGAGGTGAGAGTCTCTCCCCAAAGTGCTGGGTGACAGAGTGCATTTGATATAGGGTAGCAAGTTACCCCAAAATGGTATCCAAATAAGCAAAAATGATCCAAACAAGAGAACTATTCTAAGGGCCAACCTGCTAGATATCCGAAACATCAGTTTGTGTTCTCTAAAATCGAAGAATGAATTCTAGGGACAATGGAGGTTAAGAGTAAATTTATCACGAGAAAAATTTATTGAGAGAAAAATAGCTTCTGTCTGAGACAGAAGGTGGATCAACCAGGAAGTGAGTTGCCCACCTGCTTTCCTTTTCAAAGGTGTTTTATTGAGCAAAGCCTTGAGGTGAAGTGTGTTAAAGCTGAGACAAAACTATAAGACCCAATGCAAAATTACAAGGTGGGCATGAGGTGGGACAAAACCACCATCAACCAATAAGATTGCAAGTACCGTCACCCAGGTGCCATTGATTAAAAGGGAATCAAATAGGAAAGCAAGTTACACACAAGGAATTTCTGGAAAGGGAATGGGCTAGGGAGATGTCCATTTAGAATATCAATGACTGTCATTTATCTCTAGGGGAAATAGTGCCTCTATTCTTTTTATAATGCTAACCAGAGAGTGTGCCTCAATTGTTTTTCTATCCAGAGGGCCCAGCTTTATCTAACTGCCTTGTAATAATTTCAAACTAACTTAGCTATTTGCAATAGTTTGTGACCCACGAAAGACTGCACGGGATGGAAGGGGGTGATTCCTGGTGACCATGGGCTGGGAAGTAGGTTCCCCAGTACCAACCAGTATAACTTTCTATTTGGGAGAGATGCCCTTGGGGTTAACTGCAGAGGGCTTAGGTTGGAGATGTTTGAAGTGCTTCAATCCTAAACCAAGCTATATGCTAAAATTGAGTAAGAAAGTCTTAAAACACAGGAGAGTTTAAGGAACAATTGTTGTGTTCGTTTGTCCCACTCTTCTCCTTTAAGTGGATCTTAGATTCACAGCAACCCGAGGATTATAAAACAAAACAAAAACAAACCCCAGAAGTCAGCTCTACAAGTCGTAGCACTTCAGAGGGGACCTGAGAACTCAGATTCATTATTCTGAGTAGATGCTTAAATGACAGGGGATCCAGAGCCTTCTCTGAGAGGAGTAGCTGAGGAGACAGGAAGAAAGGAAAGGAGGGCGCCAAGAGGGGAGGCAGGCATAGAAGCAGAGACTGAGCTGGAGGAGGATGGAGCAAGGCCAAAGGGGAGGAAGTTGTGTGGAGAAGGCAGGACTGAAGTCAGAAGAGAGTTGAGGAGCAGGAGGCAAAAGAGCAATACAGAGAGGGAGAAGACAAAAGAATTGAATGAGAAGATTCTGAGACAGAAATTTAGAAAAAGCTCAGGGAAAAGAGACAGCAGAGAGCAGAAGGTGCAGAGGAGAAAGGGAAACATGAAAGGAGACAGGCAGGGCCTGGGGAAGGGAGGGAGGGAGAAGAGAACCCAGTGTACACAATGGCCGCACTGCTGCTGTTTGCTCTTTGGTTGGCTCCCATCAGAGGAAACCTCTCCTTTTCTGCTCCAGGAAGCTGCCAAGGACCAAGGTTCGGGTAGAGGAGATGGAAGAACATTTGGAGGTGCCTTGAGACAGTGGAGGGGACAGTTGCAATGGTATAATTAGAGTCTGGGTCCCCAGTGAGGGAAGATTCTAGGATCTATAGAGCTATAAATTGTGTTTCCCAGGGTTGGAGTCCAAGATGCTAGATTCAAGACTATTCTGAGCATGACTTTGTGCTTCGTCTTGCCCAGAATTCTATGCCCTGAAAGCTTTAGTACCCCTTGCTGTGCATTCTTTCCTTGCCTCTTCTTATAGACAGAAAGACGAGAAGTATCCAAGCCATTCAGTGCACCTCCCAAGTCTTCCCACTGCTCAGCTCTCTGGTTTGGGTCTAAATATTGAGAATGTTCTAATCTGTGACACACGTGTGATAACAGAATTGGAACGTTCTCTGCCTCACACAATATCTGGGCATGCAGCATTATTTTACTCAAATCCTGGCTTCTTGGAAGCTTATAAAATATTAGCCCCAGAAGCACCTGCCGGGATCAATTGAGCTATGCCAAGAAGTGAGCTGATTGTTCCTTGACAGAGAACAGTTTGGGACAAAGCTGCCAGGACTCTGGTCCGGACAGCAAACACTCAGCCCAAGTCCAAGGAGAATTCTAGGGTAGTGTTTCTTAACTCTGTGGTAGCGAGAGGAGGGGCCTGGGTTTCTTTGAGTCCGCTGATCCTCTGTCCACACACAGACACTCAGTAATGGTGACAGATGTGGAGGGGCTCCGGACTTCGATGCATCCATGCTTGGGTTCTGGACCTAACCTAGGACTTCTCTTTCTGACTAGGATTCTGTTCAGGAGCTCAGAGTTGTGTGGAAATCACCCTGGCTGTGGGCATGGGGCTGTGGTCTTTGCTCCATGGATGCCGTAGATGCAGTTTGGTACAGGAGCACGGTGCTGCCCATCTCTAGGGCTTTAGTCATTCAAACTAGGAGAATCACCAGATAATTTCTGAGACTGCCTTCCAGCTCCAGGTTTTAGGGAGCAAAACAAAGTCAATCCCCCGCCCCACACCACCCAGGCTCTTTGTTTTCTGATTTTTAATTTTGTTTTTGGTCAAAATAGAAAGGCAAGTAGTTTAGAAATCTCTCTGTGACTGAGAAAGAAAGAGGGTGGGGGACAAGCACATCTTCCCCCTCATGACAGAGAAAGGTGAGGTTGTTTTAGAGCTCACCACATCTTCGGGGTGGGGGGACTCTGTCCAGAATCCTCAGTTCAGAGGTAATGGAAGGAGATGGTTTCCTCCGAAATCTGTTCCTAGAGGGATTATTTTGAATCTTGCCGGCTGTACAAATACAGAAGTGCGTTTGTTTGGGTCTCCTAAAATAAGTGAGCAGGGTAAGAGAAGCCCCAATTAAGCATCTGTGTGTGACAGAGTATTTCCCCCCTCAAGGCTCAGTATTTGAACCTTTTTGAGCGTAACTGAGTGTGCACATATGTGAGCGAAATCATGGAAGGTGTATGTTGGTGGCACTGAGTGAAAATAAACGATGGTCTGTATACCGTGGCATGTGGAACGATGTGTGCCTGGGCGCAGAATATTTTTTCCCTTTAAGTAAACCACTTTAGATCGTGTCGCCTCCCCTCACTTCGGTGATTGATTCAGCAAGGCTAATGGTGCGTAAAAACGCTGGTGAGATCTGGGGGCGCCTGCGAGCCTGACGTCAGAAAGGCAGTTTAAAAAGGGGGGAGCCTGTGGAGAGCTCAGTCGCCGCGGCAAGAGTCGCGAGCCGCCGCCGCTGCCTGCAGATCCCAGCCTGGAGTTTGAGCAC